GACCACGGCAGGGCTGAGGTGGGCACGTGCTGTCCCTGGGGATCCTTGGTCTTGCACCGTGGGGGGCACAGAGAGAGAGCGATAGAGAGAGAGGCATTGGCCGTAGGGGTTTCCAGCCTGGCACCACGGGGGTTGGACTGAGCGTGTGGAAGCTTCTCCTGGCATTGCAGGGGGACAGGGACAGATGAACACTGTAGGTGATCTCAGCCTGATGACTTAAAGGGAAAAGCATTGGAGTGTCTATCCTGAGAAGGAACAGAGCTGCTTTCTTGGTACTGCGGAAGCAAGAGAACAGACTCCTCTTGGTCATATGGGACTCCTGAGCTTGGAGCAAGGGAGCCTGGACCTCCAGACCCCTTCCCAACCCATTTTCAGGTGGTCCACATGCCGAGCTGGCCAGGCACTCATAAGCTCTTGCTCCTCAGTCCTAGTCACTCTCTGAAACCTGCTTGACTGCCTATCTTACTCTAACTTCTAGCTGGACACAGGAGCTGGGCAGAGCTCTCTTTGTCCAGATAGAACAGCATCTGGAGGCAACGTCATCCCCTTCCCTGCTTTCCTGAGTGGCTGTGAGATTTGATCACAGCATCAGGCCCTGGCAGTCTGCCCTGCCTGTCTGCTCACTGCCTCCCGTTTGTGCTCTTCCTCCTCAACAGTATCCACACCGGGGACCGACCCTACAAATGCGCTCACCCTGGGTGTGAAAAGGCTTTCACCCAGCTTTCCAACCTGCAGGTAAGGGGCTGGGCTTGTCCTGCTCACCAGTGGGGGTTGCAAGGGCAGCTGTCAAGTGAGAGGAGAGGCTGCTTGCCTGTGGTGGAGGAGATGGAGAAATTGGGGCAGCTGGGAGGAGAGTGAAAGAATACAGAAAAGCTGTTGAAGCCCTGGGTAGGGGAAGAGCTTTTGTGGCACTAGTGACCCAAAGAAGTCACGTGAACAGTCACATCCTGTAAAACTAAATTTGACTTGAAATTGGTGAGACCTTGGTAAAGTTCCTCCCATCTGTTCTGCAGAGTTTTCTAACTTAGCTGGGGCAAGACTTTTGCTAAACGTACCCAGATTTTATTCTGTGTGATCTAATTGGGGTTTTTTGTTTGTTTTACAATGAAATAGAGGGCATAAGAGTAGGGATTTAGGGAAGCAGAGGTGGTATGTCCTGTTGCAGTATCCTGGAGGAGGGGAACTGTGGGGTGTGCCAAATGGCAAAGAGCTGTAAATGCCTGCGAGCGGTTAAAGCAGATCCACCCTGAAGGGCAGTGACAGATGCAGGGAGCAAATGTGTAGTGAGGCAGAGGAGGAGAGAAGAGGAAAGGACTGAGAAAAGAGTTGCGTGGAGACTGAGAAGATGGGGGTTGTGGAGAGTTAGGAGACACTGCTCTTCAAATGCCTAGTGTGCCTGAGTAAAAAGGGCATCTGTGGGGAAGATGTGGTGGGCTGGAGGGAGAAGCTCTGTCCCCTGTGCTAGCAGCCAGGCATACCTCCCTCAGCAGGCGGGGGCCTCGGGAGCTTGGGGCCTGGCTGGAAACGGGTGTCAGAGGTGAAGCCACCTCCAGTACTAATACTCGCTTCCTTCCCTGCGCTTCATTTCTCTTTCCTCTGCCCTGCTGCCGCCCCCCAGTCCCACAGACGGCAGCACAACAAAGACAAACCTTTCAAGTGCCACAACTGCCACCGTGCGTACACGGATGCTGCCTCGTTGGAGGTACACCTGTCTACACACACGGTGAAACACGCCAAGGTCTACACCTGCTCCATCTGCAGCCGGGCCTACACCTCGGTGAGTGTTTGCTGCCCTGGAGGGTAGCAGAAGCAGACACGCTTCCCAGGGAGTAGCTCCTCCGGATCCAACAGGAGCAGCCCCCGAGCTGTCGCGTCCCTCCCCGTTGGCTTTTGCGAATATCATCCCCTCCTCTCATGCCATTCTTCCCGTTGCAGGAGACGTACCTGATGAAGCACATGCGGAAACACAACATCCCTGACCCACAGCAGCAGGTGGTTCAGGCACAAGCCCAGGCCTCTCAGCAGCAGCAGCACTTCCAGCCGCAGGGCGGGGGGGCAGCAGGGGGCCCTTCTGGAGACACTAACCAACCCAACCCTCCCCCCCAGTGCTCCTTTGACCTGACTCCTTACAAGACTTCAGAGCATCACAAGGACATCTGCCTCACTGTCAGCACCAGCGCCATCCAAGTGGAGCACCTCTCCAGCTCCTAGAGAGACCTCAACCCAGGGAGCAGAAAGCCTCTTGTGCATAGCCTGCGCCCAGGGGCACCGCTTGTGCAGCGGCCCTCGTGCAACAGTCTCCGGCCTCTCCTCCTGCAACAGCCTCTTCTGGCCGTGTAACCCTGTTCATGGCAGCCCCTTGAACAACAGCCTGTCTCAAGGGGGTGCTCCTTCTGTGCAACAGCCTGCCTGGTAGGAGGATGCTTCCTTGTGCAAGAGCCCCTTTCCTGTGCTGGGATCACTTCCTCATGCAAGAGCCCCTCCTTTCAAACCCAAAGAAAGGCCCCCGTTTTGCCTTCTCTCTCACTGTAGGATGCGTATGAAGGGGGGGTGCGTGTTGAGACATGCATGGTGGATGGGATGGAGAGACGGTCCTTGTACGTACAGGGGCTTGGACACATGTTTTCAGCAGGCCACAGAAGAATGTGGCAGGGTTCACAGCTGGATGGGGTTCTTTGAGGATTTCCTTGAGTGTCTAAGAGAGAAATATCCATTCCTGTCCCTCCTGCTTGTGAAAGGGAGGAAGGGTCGCTCGTCCTGCCCCAAGGACTGGATGGGAGAAACCTTCTCCCCGGTGGAAGGTGAGACCGGTGCGGGGGGAGAGGTGAGGCATGTTCTCTGGGCCGGACAGGTGCCTGCACTGCCCGAGGGCTGTGGAGTATTGCACTCTTTCTCCTCCCCTGGTGGAGAGCAATAGAGAGGAGTCTGTCTGAACTGGCTGCTGCCTCTCTCTCCCAGCTGTCTGAGCAGCACGATGGCCGAGGCCCCGTAGGAATGTGGGTTCCTCCTGCTCATTGCTCTTCCTGCCCGTTGTGGATGATGTTCTAGCAGCTTGTACTCCTCCTCCTCTCCCTCCTGCTTCCCCCACCACCTCCTCAGAAAAGCCTGCAGGCCTCAACAACAAACCAAAAAACAACTGGAGGGAGGGGAAGAGACTGCCAAAATAATCATCACCCTTCTCTCTACTCCCTTTCCTGAAAGGCGGAACGACAGCAGTTCTGACTCTCACATGCCTGTCCTGCCCCCAGTTTCCCAAAGGGAAGGAGGAGGAGGAATAGACCAGTCTTTTCAAGGAGCCGGCAGGAGGCAGGGAAGTGAGCCGGCAGGAGGCAGGGAAAGTCTAGCTTCTCCTGCTCACCTCCCATCAGAGTGCTCTCCCAGGCTCCCTCTTGCCAAGACGGGCTGGACTCACATGGCAGTGGTGGCCTCTTCTGGACCCTGGTCATGGGAGAGAATCCCCAAAAGGTGGACAGTGGAGAGAAGGGGATGAAGATCCCCACAGAGAGACCAATCTAATGAGAACGGGGAGCCAACAAGAATAAACTGAAGGCCCCTTGAATTTATATATATATATATATATATAAATAT